ACCTGGACTTTCAAAAAGCATTCAACACAGTTCCCCATAGAATTCTCATAGAAAAACTGTCTGCCCATGGCCTGGATGAGCGAACGGTCTGCTGGGTCAAGCACTGGCTGGCTGGATGGTCCCAGAGAGTGGTGGTCAAAGGAGCTAAATCCAGCTGGCAGCTGGTCACAAGCGGTGTTCCTCAGGGCTCGGTGTTGGGACCATTTCAACATCTTTACTGATGATCTTGATAAGGACATAGAGTGTATTATCAGTAAATTCACAGATGACACCAAGTTAAGCAGTAGTGTCGATCTGCATGAGGATAGGGAGGCTCTACAGAGAGACTTGAATAGATTGGATCGGTGGGCCAACGTCAATGGGATGAGCTTCAACAAGGCCAAGTGCCAGGTCCTGCACTTGGGCCACAACAACCTCATGCATCGCCACAGGCCTGGGGAGCTGTGGCTGGAGCTGTCTGGGAGAGAAGGATCTGGGGGTTCTAACTGACAAGCAGATGAACATGAGCCAGCAGTGTGCCCAGGTGGCCAAGAAAGCCAACGGCATCCTGGCTTGTATGAGAAATAGTGTGACCAGCAGAAGTAGGGAGGTGACAGTCCCCCTGTGCTCTGCACTAGTGAGGCCACACCTGGAGTATTGTGTCCAGTTTGGGCACCTCAGTATGAGAGAGATATCAAGGTGCTGGAGCGAGTGCAGAGGAGGGCAACAAAGCTGGTGAAGGGCCTGGAGAACAGATCCTCTAAGGAGCAAATGAAGGAGCTGGGACTGTTTAGTTTGAGGAAGAGAAGGCTGAGGGGAGACCTCATCACTCTCTACAGCTACCTGAAAGGGCACTGTAGGGAGGTTGGTGCTGATCTCTTCTCACAGGTAGTTAGCGATAGAACAAGAGGAAATGGCTTTAAACTCCAACAGGGGAGGTTCAGACTCGACATTAGGAAAAAAAATTTCACAGAAAGAGTGGTCAGACAGTGGAACAGGCTGCCCAGGGAGGTGCTGGAGTCACCATCCCTGGATGTATTTAAGGGTCATTTGGATGAGATGTTGGGGGATATGGTGTAGGGGAGAACTTTGTAGAGTAGGGCTGATGGTTGGACTCGATAATTCCAAGGGTCTTTTCCAACCTGAATGATTCTGTGATTCTATGGAATTTCCTGGGGTTTTCAATGCAGTTCTTTGGAACAAACAGCAGAATAACTGATTATTCGGTTTCCTGCTCTACTCATAACCTTTCAAGTACTCTCCCTTTAGTCAACTTCTAGACATGCACAAATTAAAAAACTTTTGACTGTGAGCTCTTCACAAAGGGTTATGTGAAGCCATCAGCAAAACTGTTGCTGACCCCATGAGCAGCAGCATCAGATCTCAGTGGCAAGAACTGATGAAGCCAATGACAAACCCTGCACTGAATTCTGGGAATGTGAATCTCCACGGCTATGAATTTGACTTTATGCCTATGCTACACAAAATAATCCTGCTAATAAATCCCAGGGTGCTTCATTTGCCTTTTTTTAAGAATCAAAGGCTACGCCTACAATACATAGACAATTTGGACCAGCTGGAGAAAAAAGGCTGGTTCTGAGAATCTAAGGTCCACACCATGCACCTTTTAAGAGGTTTTCACTCCAGACTAGTCCCATGGCTTGAATGCCTACCAGACTGCGCTTCTTTAGCACATCTTCAAATTTTGTTTCATTTGAAAGGAATCCAGCCCAGGAGCTCTCAACCTGCTTGGGGACAATGAGGAGATGTATTTCCAAAGCACACTTCTCATTTGACCTGACACACTAATGTAGATGCATCCAAAGAGCTTAGAACATGTTCCTCCATTAAAATGTCTAAAATTAAGGAGTTCCAAGGTCATTAATTACTTCTCTCTTAGTTAAGAGGACACACAGCCTTCAATGCACTTCACACACGTGCAGCAACCTACAGAGGAGATGAGTTTTACAGCAGCAGGCACTGTGTTTCTGATTCCAAATATGTTCATTTCCCACTTTCTTGACCTTGTTATCTTTAGGATTTTTATTCAATTAGCTCTCCACATTAAGAAAACTTCTTTATGCAGCTGAATATTTTATTTTCAGAAGAGTTTGTCAATCTTTATTGTCTGTTCTACTGACAAGGGTCTTCTCTTCCTTGACAGCTCTGCAAAGTACACATTATTGCATTAAAAAGATCACTGGATGTCTCATATGCTTCTGATAAACCGGGCTCCCTGCCCTCTTCACTTGGGCTCTCCCTCCCCCTTCCCAGTTTTATACTAGTCAAAAAGATTTACTTCTCTTCTAAAAAATAATATATAAATAAATACATTGTGAGTCACAAACATTAAATACTTAATTTGAACCGGCAGAAAGACCAGCTACCGGAATTCTACAGTGGTCTGTTAGCTCGTATGTCTCTGCATGTGCATATTGAAGGAAACAGCAGAAATAATACTTTACAGTTTGATGAACAACATATGACACAGAACCTCTAGACTCACAAAAAAGGGTTACCAACTTAGGAAAATACCTGCTATATAGAATACTGCCCTCTCCAAGAAAAAAAGCCCTACACACTCCTTAATTTCACTGATACAGAACCATCATCATTAAGGCTTGATACATAAATAAGGACATAATTAAAATCTGAGTGATAAAAAGGGACATTTTCTGAGGATGTTGGATGTCAAAGCAGAAAGGATGATACTGTGCCATCTCCTTTTAGGCAGAATCCTTCCTTAATTTCAAATACAAGCTTTGCTTATAGTTGGCACCATATTGGCTTATAATAATTTAACCACATCTCTTTCTGGAGCAAAATATAACATCACTCTCCACTTCATCATGAACAGAGGAAGAACCCATGAACCTAATATAAACTGAAAAGAGAGAAGAAAGAGAGGGAAAAAAAGTCATATTTGATTCGCACAGTCTACAGAATTATCTTAATGCAAGCTGCAGATAGAAGCGTTATCTCTGAAAATCACAAGAAGCAATCACATCGTTGGAATAAGCAAATAAAAAGAACATGCTTTCAATAGGCACAACAGCATAAGTGATACTGAGTTTGAAAATATGCCTTCTTTTCAAGAAAATGAATTAAAGTGTTGTATCAATCTCACAATAAAGTAATGTATAGGCCCACTAGATAACCAGTAATTCCCATTTCTGAAAATCATATTCTTTACTTGACAAAGAGCCCATACTAACTTAATGCTCCACCAACACTGCCTATTGTTTCTTTCCTATAAAGATAAAAAAATAAAGGGAAACATTCTAGCCTGAAAGATGACACATGCCTTATATTTAGCCCTTTTCACTGAAAGCTTACCTTAGTTTCTGACTGTGAGTGCTGGGGAGAGAAAAATAATATTTCAGACTGCTGCATCTTCCCTTTTCACCAAGCTCTTCAACCATCCCTATTCAGCAATCACACATTCCTAATTCAGTGGGGATGGCCTGCCTGTTATAAACTACTCTCAGAAACCAGCTATTTCTGCTGCTTCCCCTGGGATTGCACCCAAGGTGAGGATCAAGCAAGTAACACTGGGCATCCACATGCACAAGGTCTGAGCCAGATGTGAGGAAGCAGAGTAACCAATCCATGTTTTATCGCACTTGGCATTTGCCTTCTGCAAGCTGCCTTTGAGAAGATCACCAGCACAGGTATGTTTGAATACGCCACCCTCTTCCTAATACCAATGAGCCTCTTCACGGACCCAAAATCTGCCTGACACAAAAACTACAGGCATAAACAATACATCTATTGTGTAATAGTCTGTTTTCTCCGAAGAAATATCTTGGGGTACTTTATCACTGGACAATGCTACAGAACTAGTTCTTAAAGTGACCGTTAAAGCCATCTCTCCTATGTTTAGCTGCTGACACTCTGGAGAACTTCAGCTGTAGTTTTAAGTATCTTTTGGTATCGTTTGAACTTTTGCAAGCATATACTTTTACAGCTCTGTTAACATCTATGCAAAAGAACTGAACAAAATGATGGAATAAATTATGGGATTGCACAGAAGAAAGAGAAAGCAAAGTAAAATACTGGAGCAAAACTGAGATGGGGAGGGATGAATTTGAAGAAGTTTAAAGAAAAATGTTGACCAGATAAAGGGAAAGGAACTGGAAAAGGTAAATCATAAATGTTAACTTGTGGTGCAGTACATGGCCACACTTTTGTATCTTCTAATATTCATCTTTTCCAAGCGACATTCCCATCACTTATCTTTTGAAAGCCAGTGCATAAATGAAAGACCTGCAGTGGAGAGGTGCACAAGGCAGACTCTCAATAGCAGTAAACACCAGCAAGAAAAAAGTTTCAAGTATCTGACACTGAAATCTTTCCATGGCCCAAGAATCAAAACACATGTGTCTGATAGCCATGTATCAGACTAAACAGCCAGGGAAGAGGAAACTTTTAATGAAACATACTACCAGTCACTACAATTATATGAGGCATAAGATGGCCCAGAATGGAAAAACTACATTCTAAGTGGAAGTATCCTGCTGTCATTTTTGCTCTTTCTCACTGAATTTAATAAAAATATGCTGTGTTTCCAGGCAATGTAGGACAAAGACATTTTGGTTTTGAACCTGTATCTTGTGAACACTACACCTGAATGTTATCACCTCTCTTAATCACCTTCTTATGTCTGATAGTGCCCCTTTAACCTTTGTCACTCAATTATTGAACAAGTTATCTCATTGTTACTCTCTTTTGAAGGAAGAGTTGTGCCGCTTTTCATGCTGATAAGAGACACATTAATATTCACTCCCAGCAAACATTTAATAGTAAAGTGTCTTGAGCAAACTACCAGAGTCTAAAGGTAGGAACCTGTGGTTAATTTCCCTGCTATCTTAACCCTTTAGTCAATCCACCAGAACAGACACAGAAGATGGATGCTCTTTTTTACAAATGAAGCAAAAATAACTGTTCACTGAAAGAATGGACTTTATAACATGTTTTATAACACAGCAAATAAATCAAATGATTCAAAGTAAAATACCTACCCATTTTCTGGGCCGGCCTCTGGGTCGCTTTTCACCAGTGGCTTCTGCTTTCTGTAAAGGGAAAAGAAACACAACATATTTTATACCTCAGCATTATTTAACAGCCTCATTAACTAGGAACTATTTTCCTGTAACATTATCCATAATTATATCTCTTGGGTGGCACAAAGCCCCACTCCTGCTCTATGGGTTTTCTGGTAGAAAGTGTGTATGTTGGTTTTTCTGACATTTCCTAGCCAGTGTGGCCAGGGGATGCTTCACCTGCACCCAAGGGTGCCCCCAGTCCTGATCCACAATGTGTCCAGGAGCACAGAGGAGCGTGCGCACACACTCCCCGCAGTATAGCCTGCGGTGCCTCGACCCCAAGCAGCCATGGGGCATGCAGGCTGCAGATGGGGGCACAGGGCAGTTTGGGAACCCAAGAACCCCCAATAACATCAAACCTAGTCTTTCACAGGCTGTCAGAATTACCTGAAGATAATAAATTTAAAACACAGCCTGCTCCAAGTCTGAAGAAAGCAGTTTCTAGCAATCACAATTCCTTCTTTTAGTTTCATGATGTTCACACATGAAATGGATTTGGACAGACTATCACCAAGAACATGTGTGTGTTCATACTGGGAAATAACTTTTCTACTTCACATGAAGTTTTCCAGGTAAAAATGCATCCTTAAGCTGTACGTAAACCTTTCACTGGTCCAAAACACACCTTCCCTTTTTAGGTTTAAAGAAACAGCATGGAAGGTACCCTAGAAATGACAGCTTCATTTATGAATGACCAGCAGTTGGTCCTGGAGCTCAATGTAAAGGAAATATGCGTTCTCTTACAAGACTCTTCCATTAATTCACTGTGTGACACTGTGAATACTACTACTTATGCACGACCCTAAAATACTTACAGGTTTTAAAATGAAAATTGCAGGTTATTTTCTCTAGGTAGGCTCTGCCTATCCATACACCTCATCCGGAAAATAACCCTGTGCCACTTAGGATGATGAGGATTTTGCCATCAGTTTCAGTGAGGACAGGACTTGCCACATACGAAGTCCCTGAGAATGAAGACTTTTAGTACACATTCTGTAAATGTGTTTCCACATTTCCATGAATTGCTTTTTTCCAGTTAACTGTAAGTGTATTTGATTTGCCCTCAGAAATCAACTATGTCCTTAAATAAATCACTTGCTGGTCAATCTCTGTAACATATCCTGTAACCCAATGCTGTGTAAATCGGATCCCTCTTAAGAGAACTTGAGCCAAGGAAGTAGTGGAGGAATCTCTACAAAAAAACTGCCCTACAAGTTAAATGCAATTATTTTGAAATAAGTATCTCAACAAGAGGAAAGCTGTGAAAAATAAAATTCACACTCCTAAATGGCAAAATTATCACTCAGACTTGTTAAGAGAGTAAACTTGCTTTTTAATCATTTATACCAGTGTTACATGTAAGGTGAAACCCTCTTGTGAGAACACTTGTTTAAGTGCATTTACTATATACTATAGCTGTCTTATTTCAGAGTTTTGCTTCCTTTTAAAGTGTTCATTTCTTTATACCTTATAAGCCAAAGGATGCAAAAAAAAGAGATGTGGTTTAGATTTGACAAGCTGTAGCCCCCTGCATTTATGTTTATTTCATGAAACACTGGGCATAAATCTTAAAGGAAAATATTGGGTTAAAATTGTTCTTAACAAATCAACACCTAACATGCTATCAAAGCACAACTGTCATTTATTCTTCTGTGTTTTACCGCATCTGAAGGAAAGACCCTTTTCCAAAACTCTATGAAAAAAAAATTAACTTTTTGGAAACAAAAACTACTTTGGTCTCACAATTAAAGTTCCTACAAACCTGACACAAATTATAAGTTTAACTACAGCGTATAATCTAGTTTGATAGGAAAGAGAACATGAGAGATTTCTTTGAGTAACTAATCTTCACTTCCTGCCATAAACTGTCACGCAGCATGGCCGCTTGCCACGAACAGTGCTGCGCTTTATCCCTGAGGAAGGTCCATGTCAGAAGTGGCTAGTGTTCCTGCTGGCTAGTTTGGATATCAGTTTGTCAAGTGCTTGGGGACCTTTCATATTGAAAGGCACTATATTCCTGCTGTATATGATTTCCACCTCATGTTAGAAGAAAAACATTTCCACAGTTCTTATCAAAACCAAATCTTTCCCAGAGGTGAGCTGAGCAAACAGCAGGGCATGCCAGAGACAATGTTTTGGTACAGAGCAATTCTGTAAGTAAATAGGAAGGTTTCCACAGACTAAACTGCAGAAAATGAATGACAAGAACATTCAAAGTGGATGTTTTTATCTCCGTTCCAAGTGAAGAGGAAGACAAAACACTTTTGGAACGACCAAAAGGAGTGGTGGCAGTCCAGTGGTGATGACAAAGGCACGAAGTTTACGGAAATATTCCACCTCTTTCGCTCTGGATTTTTTTTAGTTTGCATTTTGCAAACACATCCTGTATTTTCTCCAACAGCACAAGACTGTCTTTTAATTTAAGCACTTGAGGAAAGGTTTTATTGCGTATCGGTCAAATAACTCAATGTTTCTCCATATAATTTTCAAGTAATTAGTAAGAAAAGGAACACATAAGTGCCAAAACATTGCCTTTCCTCTGAAACAGGTATTTGCATAATCACAAACATGCCAGCATGTTGACTCTGCTTTAATTGAAGTGTTGTCTCCGAAGCTAGGAAGAAACCTAGAGAGAGCCCCAAACCACCCAGAGGATTCTCAGCTGGGCAGCAAGATGCATATGCTCCCAGCCACCCCACATGCAGCAGCAGTGGGCACCTGCTTAGTCAGGAAGGAAGCTGCTGCTGCCTTCATACTCTAAAGCACCTCTTGAAACTCAGATGTGTTTGGTCAGGGTTTTCTTAACATTTGGTGCTACACTATGAGGCATGATCTTGCTCTATACAGCTAAGACACGAAATCACCAAGCTTAAAGGATGGTCGGTGTTATAATGTTTCATGAAAAATTATGAAATTTCTTGTAACCATAATATGAATAAATCATTTTTGCTATGTCTCATTTTAGGAACAGAACTAGATTTACTCCCTTTTAAGTGCATGATCTATACGGGAAATGTTTGGGGGGCTTCTTTGTCCCAGGTGAGAAAGATGGCCATTCCAGTCATTGCCATCTGGAAGTCAGTTAACAGTCCCCAGGCAGACTGGCAATTCAGCTAAACCCTGTACCACAGGGCCATCAAACCTGCTTCCAATGACTTGCTGTCAGCAACTGTAGGATTTGACTGCCCATCATCTCTGCCTCCTTGTTGCACAAATATGCCATGCCCAGACAGAAACTGAGGCTGTACTACTGAAAGCAATTAACAAGACAAGTATAAATAATTGAATGGCTATAAAGTGCTCTTTGAGCATCTATCTATTGTCAAGGAAGATCTCAAATGGAACAGAATCTAAATTTGGAGAACTCTATCCACTTTGCAAAATGATCTGCTGGAGACCTCAGGTAAAATGTGTCAGAGCTGTAAGTCAGATGAAATAACCAGGAGTTCTCAGAAGATCACAGCTGTCAAACCATGACAAAAGACCTTGCCCACAAATGTGTCCCTCTCCTAAAAAAAAAAAAAAGTGATTTTGTCATTAAGAAAAAACTTTTAAAAGAAATTCAGGCATTGGCTAGCTACAAAAATATCACACTTCCCATGTCCTGTTTTACCCAATTCTAAACGGGAATCAGTCTTGTGCTTCTCCCATCTTGCTTAAAATGCCTGATTTTGAGGTCTCTCTCTCTTTTGGTGTTTGGGGTTTTTTTGTTGTGGGTTGTTTGTTTTTTTTTTACTTTAACCATGCTATGATCACTTGATAAATCTGATCTTGTTTTCCTTTTAAGGCAGTAATGACTAGTGTTGGTGAGAATGAATCAAGCATGGAGAAGAAAAATAGATCTTCATGAACCAATTTAGGGCAGAGTCCTGGTCACGTGCGCTTTTTTTTTTTTTTTTTTTACCTTTGGACTGCTTAACTAGAGGACATGCTTTTCTACATACCAAACTCTGGCCATGTAACGTCAAGACAGTAGTAAGTGTAGTCATACACAGTACTACAAGTTCCAGTTTTCAGAGGTTGATATTTCAAGATCTGGAGGTATTTTCAGTGAATTTCACTACCTCAACAACTACAACAAAACTCAAAATACTTTAACCGAGGGTGAATTTTAATAAAGAGTGTTTACTTTTGGATCTTCCTGGGATATCCCTTAACATTTTCCTTTGAGACAAATATATAATAGCTACTACTCCTTTTTGTAACCTCACAACTGTGTTTCCTCCTACCAAACAGGCGAGTATTTATGCCTATACAGTATTTTTGTCAAGCCCAACTACAGGAGCTAAACAAAGAAAAGCCCCTAAATGCTTCAGGGAAATGTGATGGGCTGGGAACACTGTTCAGTCTAACAAATAAAACTCAACCACAGAACACCCAGGAAACAAAAAAGGAACATCCCTACCCAGATCTTCCCGCAAAACTAATTGTTCTTTAGGAAAAAAAAAGAAAACCTTCACTTTTTTGCTTTTTTTTTTTTTACAAATATTTAAAATGAATAACAGAATGACTTGTTTAAAGACGCAGGCTTTAATAACAGCCTAATTGTGGGGATTCAAGTACAAAGTGATTAAGAGTCTTTTTGTGTCTATCTCTTCTCATCTGCTAGCATCTTGTGTTCCTTCTGCTTGTGAAAATTAAACTGAGAAATGGTTTGGTTTTCTACAAAATGCAGTTTACCTTTTGTGTCCAGTTTATAACAAGTTAGGCATGTGTGATAGGCAAGGCTTTTTTAAAAAAAAAAGCATATTACCTAAAATTAGATTAATTGTCACATTATTAGCTGTCCAATTGGTCTTGCAACATTCTGTATGCATTGTCAAGTTTCACATTGCTAATTTCCTAACAAGCAGAGTTTGTTTTCAGATGCCCCAAGGCCAGTTTACTAAGACCAAACACAAGCTCTGAAAGTTTAAAAAAAAAAAAAATCCCATGAATCAAGAAATTTTAAAAACACAACCACGATTCCAGGGTAAATTGTCCCAACTGATTTAAGGGTATTTCCTTTCTGAAGTATAGCAAAGCAAAGTCCCAGTTCTGGAGTATTTTTAACTCGCTGCCAGTTCGTGCAATACATTTTTAATTGTGATGTGTAATGGTTTGCAAGAGAACACCCAATCAATTAATCATGAGTGCCTTCTCATGGCTGCTCGGTGGGTTCTCCTGGCCGACGTTTCTCTTGCATGTTGTGAACACTCTAATACATTTCAATGAGCTCCCTTTGAAACACACAGGCCACACACTATTCTTTAGAAATTCCAGCAATTTCCAGTTGCGTGTATAGTACACAGGTTCACATGTAGAGCGGCTTAAGCTAAGTTAGCCAGCTCCCTTTCTGAGAGTTGAGACAGGCTGTAGCAAGTCTTAAATAAATATATGTATGCATTATGTATGTGTAAATATGTTTACCACAAAATCACACATAAAGCTCACTCTTTTAGGAGATGACACCCTCACCACCAAATGAAGCTTTTTTACAGTGCCAAAATCTCTCCATTCATATTAGTGTTAGAAAAACTATCAGAATTAATATTACATAAAAAAGATACTTTGAGATGCCTGGTGAGATGCTGAACCATTTTAGAGAGGGTTAATTATCAATTTGGAAAAACATCTAAAATATTTATTTGAAATGTGATCTCAGTGACTTTCTTCTAGGAAGGCTTTATAAGTGTTTTATGTTTTGGAGGATTTATCAAACATTTATATACTTTATCTATAAACCCAAAAAACAATAAGACCTGTATTTACACACCCCTCAAAGGGGGGGTTTTATGATAAAAAAGACGTGTGCTCTTGGGTCAGTTTTTTACATTATCAACACCCAAAAGGGTTTGCTTTAATTAGAGCAGTAACTTGATGCATTTTGAAAATCAAAACGTTACAACTGAATTGCTCAGTTCGTAAATTAGATTAAAAAAACCCAACTAGATGTATCCAAAATAATCTGGAAAGCTCTTGATTTGATATACCTGCATATATAGGAATGTTTTTAAGTTATTTTCCATTTATACTGATTTCCAAATCACTCATATAAGTGAAATTATGTTAATATTTCTTTTAGAAATATCCTTTTAAAACACATTTCTACGAATTACTTAAAATTTAATCTTATTACAAATATTTCTCCTAGAAAAGCCAACACTCCTAAGAGTAATATTTAAAATACTAAAGCTCACATTTGGATTCGCTAGACTAATAAAACACTGCTCTCTCTTTTGAAGAGTGAAATTTAAACTATTTTAAAGTGAATCTGAGGAACATTTTTACTATATAAAGAAAAAAATCAACATTTTAAGCTCACCAGGTTGCAGAGTGGCTTTGATATATTTTAAATACTTAACCTGTAGTGCATTTTTTACTAATTCATTAACTTCTTGACAGAATATACTGCTTTTTTTCCAGCTCAGAAGGTAAAAAAGTATTTTAAATTTAAAGAGTTGGAAAACGTCCCTCAAACAAATGTTGAAAACACAACAAAACAGACATGAAACCATAGTCACCCTCTAATAATTTAGTATTTATCAGTAGTTGCATAACACTGAAAACTATCAAACTCAGCATGGTCAGTACCATAGGCATATTGAAAAGTAAATTATAATTAGATGAGGCCACAAATATCTTCCACACACATTTTGTAACAGATCTACTTAAAAGATACTGATACACTACAATTCACTACCAGATTTTGTAAGATTTTGTTTCCAATTTAGTACCTGTAAATTAGTGCTAACTGCTGTGCAACCATCAACATAAACAAAACTCTCCTGTTTGTTTTCAAGTCTATACACAACTATTTGCCTTCACTAAAGTAATTCCTACAGAAAGGTAATATTTGCCTTCTAAGTACAGTTTTCTATCGCTGAGCTTTCCCCAATTCAAATAAAATTAAGTCATATTTTCATGTTGTATTTGTGATGTAAAGTCCATGCACTAAATGCAGTGACTTCAGAAAATTTCTCCTATAGCTGAATTCATTCAGAACCAGAATAAAAGTTTGCTCCCATCACCAAGCAATAGTGGTTCAGAAGACTAATAGCACTTCAAGTAAAAGTCTCTTTGAAACTGATTACTAAACAAGGTAATAGTAGGATTTTACTGTAACTCACAGTTTACTATACCATCACATTTTAAAGCTGTAAATTTCAATATATGCACTTATTTCCATCAACACATAACTGGATTTACTTCTAATTAACCTATGTTTGACAAAACACTTAGCTTTAATATACAGATTTGGTCTGTAGTATTAATAACTTTAAGTGCACAAGAAATTAATCTTCCTCTTCCAAAAATCTTAATTGAGAAAATAATATCCTTAATATTGATTTCCTTACTAGATACAAGAGATTTCAGTAAACACATCAAATACACTATTTTATTTAACTAATCTGTACACTATTTAAAAAGCAAGCTGTCCTCACAGGTTTTGTACCTAGGGTCTTCATGCAGCATGCTAATTCCAATCTTAAAAATGCAAAATACAGTCTTTACGTAGCTTCCATTATTAAAAGGGTTCCAACCACACAGTTCACAGCCTAAATGACCGGATTTTTTGCTACCAGTCGATGAAAAAACAGCATTAGGAACTCTCCCTCTTTAATAATCTCACCTTCTGAGCTGCTTTAGAGGGACTCTTGTTTTTGCTTCCTTTGGGTCTTCCTCTTGGTCTTTTAGGAGAAGGTTCACCAGTTGGTTCCTAAATACAGGAAAACATGCAATTGTGGCAAGAGGCTACAACTAACCCAGAAGGTCTGAAGGATAGATAAACTATAACTGAGAAGTTACTTAAAACATATATACATTAATAGTATAGATAACACAATGTTTAAAATGCAACATGAAAAATCTGAGGTAAAGAAAAAGTCTATTTTTGCACAATAAGAGCTTAACTTCCCTTGTAATTACATGAAAAACTTAGAAAAGTTTGCATATTCAAACATGTGATAGCAGAAAATACATTTTTAAAAGAAGATGGCTATGATTCCCCTCATGTAAGAATGACCATTCAAAAAATAATAGTTACCCAGTTAATTTCAATTGCATTTCATTATAGGAAGATACAATTATCATATGCAGTTTCTAGCACAAACTTTTTTGGGAAAAAAAAAATAAGTTAACTACTGGAAAACTGTAAAGTAAGCTTACTAGTTTCTCAAGGGCACAAATATTTCGGGATTATTTTTTGTGTTGTTCTGTAGTTGGAACTATACTCACACCTATTCTAAGCATAATTAATATGTATTAAAGTGCAAATGTAAAAGTTGCTTCAAATAGAGTACTCTCAAGCCAAAACTCGACAAAAGAAAATATCCGAAACAGAAACGCAACTCTAAAATGACTCGACAGGAATACTTAATATTTTAGCTATTTTCTTAACTAGCTCTTCTGCCTGACAGTAAATAATCAGTCCTTAATGGAATGAATTACTAAGAGTTTGGATTCCAAATATTTATTCACTGAATCAGAAATACTATAAAACTTTTCTAATTTTAAATATTATACATTTCATTCAGATTACAGGATGTGGTAAAACTAATTAAATGCAGTTTATTAACTTAAACCAGTTTAAAACTCTTCAGCTTTTTAATTCCCGGGTAGGTTAAGGGGAGGCTGGCGAGGGGACTCCCTAACTGCTCCAGCTCTCAGTGGCGAGCCTCGCAGGCACCGCACATCTGGGCTGAACACGTTTACGGAGACGCACTTTCCTTTCTCTTCCATACACTCAAACGCTATGGCGGAGGGGGGGGTGTGGGGGGTGGAAGGAGGTGGAAGGAAGCCCCGGCGCAAGCTCGCAGGGCTGATGCTGGGGCTGGGCGAGGGCAGCCCGGAGGGTGAAACGGGACGGGGGGCAGAGCCCGGAGCCGCGCCGGTGAAATAAAGTGTCACTGGGGGCAGAGCGGGAAAACCAGGGGCTCCGCTTTTATGGCTTTCCGAAAGGACCTTCCGCGCAATCTGCAGGAGCACATCGGTGGGAGAGGGGGCGAGCAAAGCAGCCGGGCTTCCCCCGGCCCGGGGC